CTTTGATGGGCTGAATTGGCTTCATGAACCTCTTTCTCTCTCTTCACACAGACTTTGGAGCCTGGTACCTAAAAATCAAGTAGGAAGAATCTGGCCTTGAGGGTCTCATATGAAGTCTCCAAAATCAAGGGACACCTTTTCCTCTATTTAATACCCTCTTCAACACGCCTATAATCTATTACAAGGCACCCTAGTGCAAGCTTGTGTGCTAGGAACTATTTATTAGAAATTGGTTGTTCGTCAAAAGGTAACATCAATAAAGAAAAAACTGAAGCAGATGAACTGGCTTAAATTTAGCAGCTTCTCATATTAATTAGCAGATATTTATTTACCTCAACTTTCCCCTTAACCTCAATTTGTTTGTAGTAAGAAAGGAAAAGTAATTCTGGTGAATAAACACTGATATTTCGTTACATAAAATATTCTGCAAGCATGGGCATTACAAATAAACTCAACCTCAAATCTGTGTGTTATGACTAATTTTAGGACTTGAGTTTTAGCCAAAAAAAAAGAGCATGGAAAATCTTGACATGCACACCTCTGTCTCCAAACAGACAAACTAGAAAGGGCCAAAGAAGGCGTACCAGTAGCTTCTACAAGCTGGGCGTGGGAGACTGAGGGAAGGGAGAAGATTTAAGTGAAATGACAAAAGGATTTGTAAAAAAAAATAATGAATTAATTCATTTTAATTTTAATTTTTAAGGGTGTTTTACCCTGGAAAAATGGTCATTTGGTGTTTATTGCACCTACATAAGTTTGTGTTAAGAATATTCTTTATTGGGACAAAGAAAGACGAGGAGCACATTAACTAGAGAAAGCTAAAGATGTAATTTTTGCTTTTTTAACAAAGAGAATGCTAACAGAGCACTTAGAACATAAAGAAAAAAAAACCCAAGTAATTTTTAAAAAGGCTGGATTATCTAGTTTAAGATGGAAAAAAAAAAAAAAGACAAAAAGAAATGTTTCTTTTTATTTATGAGGAGTATTGTTGGAAAGCTAACCACCCACCCCGCCCCCCCCAACTTCAAACCAGTGCAGGCAAGGCCAGAGATGTCTTACTTCACTGAGCTGCGTTGCTGGGAGACTGGGTTAGGCAAACACAAAGAAAGAAGCCAAAAGATTAAGCGAGATGACGACTATTACCATATTTCACTGTCAAATCAGATGACACTTCAATTCAGGAGAGCTATAAATCCAAATAATTTTTCAAAATGAATTTGAAGACTCCTTAGAGAAAACACTGTTTGCCCTAAATTACCCCAGACATGAAAATAAATAGTGTCTCCAAAGCCGTTAAAGCTGTAGCCCCTGAGATTTCTTTTTTCACTACCATGTTCCCCAGAAGTCTTGATACAGGATACAAAACATGCCTTTGGTGAAGAAGGAGATACTGAGTGGCCTAAAGGGTTGTAAAGGATACCGAAACACCAAACACTCTAATAAAAAATAATAAAAAAAGAGACAAAAAACCTCACTCAAAACACTTTTCTTCCCCACACAAAATTACATCAAGATCACAGAATATCTCAGGCTGGAAGGGACCCAGAAGGATCACTGAGTCCAAATTCCTGCCTCTCGCCAGACCACCTATAACTAAATGATATGACTAAGAGCATTGCCCAGATGCTCCTTGAACTCTAAAAGGCTTGGTGCCATGACCACTGGAGAGCTTTTTTCAGTGCCCAATCACCCTCTCAGCAAAGAACTTTTTCCTAACTTCCAACCTGAAATTCCCCTGGTGCAGTTTCTTTCCATTCCCTCATCACCAGAGAGTGGAGATCAGCACTTTCCCCTCCACTGCACCCTTTGAGGAAGTTGTCAACTGTCCTGAGGTCACTCCTCAGTCTTCTATTCTCCAAGCTGAACAAGCCAAGTGATTTCAGCTGCTCCTTCTAAGTCTTGCCCTTGAGATCTTTCACCATCTTGGTTGCCCTCCTCCGGACTCACTCTAATAGTTTGATGTCCTTATACTGAGATGCCCAAAACTGCATAGAGTATTCAAGGTGGGAAGAAGCACACTACACACCAGTGCAGTGTAGAGTGGGACAGTGACCTTCTTCAATTGGCTAGCTATGCTGTGCTTGATGCACCCCAGAACACTGTTGGCCATTTTGACTGCCTGGGCACACTGTTGACTCATACTTAACTTGCTATCAACCCAAACCCCCAGATCTCTCTCCACAGGGCCAGATCTCTTTCCTCCAGCCTCTCATCCCCCGATTTGTACATCCAACTTGATCTTGTTAAATTTCATACAGTTGGTGATTGCCCAGCTGTCTGGTCTATCCAGATCTCTAGATGAATGTCTTATTTCATAAATGAGTGATCAACAGCGGTTATCAGCATTCTCAGCAATCCTGGCTAACCAGGGAGGTTCCACTTGACTGGAAATTAGAAAACTCAATGCCCATATACAAGAAGGGCCAAAAGGAGAATCCAGGGAACTACAGGCCTGCCAGTCTGACCTTGCTGCCGGGGTAGGTTATGGAGCAGATCATCTTGAGTGCCATCACACAGCACATACAGGACCAGTCAACATGGGTTTATGAAAGGCAGATCCTCCTTGACCAACCTGATCTCCTTCTATGACAGAGTGACACACTTGGTGTATAAGGGAAAGGCTGCATATGTTGTCTACTTAGACTTCAGTAAAACCTTTGACACTGTTTCCCACAACACCCTCCTGGCGAAACTGGCTGCTCATGGCTTGGACAGGCACACTCTACGCTGGGTAAAAAAAATGGCTGGATGGCTGAGCCCAAAAAGCGGTGGTGAATGGAGTTAACTCCAGTTGGAGGCTAGTCACAAGTGGTGTTCCCCAGGGCTCAGTATTGGGGCCCCTTGTGTTCAATATCTTTATCAATGATGTGGACCAGAGGATCAAGTGCACCCTCAGTATGTTTGCAGATGATACTAAGTTGAGCAGGAATGTTGATCTGCTTGAGAGTAGGAAGGCTCTATAGAAGGATCTGGATAGGCCGGATTGATGGGCTGATGTCAGCTGTGTTAGGTTCTACAAGGCCATGTCCTGCACCTGGGTCACAACAAACCCATGCAGGTTTGGGGGAGAGTGGCTGGAGAGCTGCCCAGAAGAAAAGGACCCGGGGGTGTTGCTCAACTGCCATCTGAATATGAGCCAGCAGTGTGCCCAGGTGGCCAAGAAGGCTAATAGCAACTTGGCTGGTATCAGAAATAGTGTGGCCAGCAGGACTAGGGAAGTGATCGTACTTGGCACTGATGAGGCCGTACCTCAAATACCATGTTCAGTTTTGGGGCCCTCACTACAAGAAAGACATTGAGGTGCTGGAGCATGTTCAGAGAAGAGCAATGACGCTGATGAAGAGCCTAGAGCATAAGTTCTGTGAGAAGCAGCTGAGGGAACTGGGGTTGTTCAGCCTGGAGAAGAGGAGGCTGAGGGGAGACTTTATTGCTGTCTACAGCTACCTGAAAGGAGGTTGTAGCCAGGTGGGGGTCGGTCTCTTCTCCCAACTCACAGGTAATAGGACAAGAGGAAATGGCTTCATGTTGCACCAGGATATTAGGAAAAATTTCTTCCCTGAAAGGGTTGTCAAGCATTAAAACACGCTGCACAGGGAAGTGGTTGAGTCACCATCCCCAGAGGTATTTAAAAGATGGGTAGATGTGGTGCTTGGGGACATGGTTTAGTGGTGGTCTTGGCAGAGTTTTCTTAACTTTCTTTTCCCTGTAATGCAGTGAAGGAAGTCTGGATATTTAGGGGATGGTGAGCCTTATATCCCATCTTGAACAATAAGCGACAGTAATGACTGCTGGGATCCTCAACTCATCATCTTTGCATGACTCATTATTCCTCAGCTACCCTGATGCCTGCATGACAGCTTTACTTCTGGCCAAGAGCAAGGCAGAAGCAGAGCTTCTAAGCAATAGAAAGAACCTTTTGAAAAGGCAAGCTGGTGCCTCACACAACCACCCCTCCCCTAAGACCTTCTGTCAAAGTAGTCTTTTTAATTGCATTCGTAGTCAGTAAAGAAACTGACAGGTCAATATGAAAATGTCTTTGAAGTGCTCTGATTACTTCAGTAGTTGGGGAGGTACCGCAGCAAGGAAGATCTGATGAAGCTTTCAGGGGGTTTGTATTGCACTGCCTTGGAGAAGAACAACCAGCACTGGGAACACAGGTCACCTGTGGAATTAAAATCCTCAGGAAAATGGGAAATCTAGATTTTAATGAAGAATAACGGGATTTGCCGGTTAAGAAAAATGATGTCATTGCAGTCAGGAGAAGTCAAGACCTTCAGAGGGACAACTTTACTCACAATCTTCCTCATAGCTAGTTCTTGTTCAAAAAATTTACTTCTGCAGAGGTTAAGAATCAGCAGCAGAGGAACTGTATCAGATGGTACCACTTAGTTCCAACAAAGCAGCTGAACAATAAACGGTAAGACCTGCGTGTAAAACATACTTCCAAACTTACAGAAACGAGGATTTAAGAACACTCTTTGTTTCTTATACCAGTATCAGAATCAAGACATGACTGTGAAAGCAGCTTTTCCACATGTCTTGGAAACATATAGGGATATGATTGGCATTGAAAAAAAATAAAATACATTCAATATGACAAAAAAAAAATCAAAAAAAGTTATTTTAAGAAATGAAAACAATAACACAATTACATTTGAATGAATTCAGCATGTCACCTCAAACTACAGCATAAAAACAAGCTGTATGAAATAAGCACTATAAAAGTACTAATACTGAATCTCGCTGAGTTTTTAATACCTTGTATCATCATCTCTTGAAGCACCTGTTATCTAACATTCTAATTTCTGCTAAAAAGACATCACAGAAAACAAAATTATCAACAGCTGATGTGATATTGGTCTCATACGTTATGCCATTTCCAAATAAAGGAGATTTTCTTTCCAAATGGAGGAAAATAAGAAGCAACTCAGAGGATTCTTGGTTTTCTTAGTAACAGCCCATCCACAGCTTTCAAGGCCACTATTATATTGGTTCCATACCGTGAAGCTGTTGTTGACATTTTTTGTGCTCGATTCAGCTACGCTGGCATCTGACAGGTCAACTTCATCAAATATTAGAGACTGTGAAAGGAAAAGAACATAAAAACATTAAATATCATCTGAGTCCACTTTCAGGTATGCTTACAGTCTGTGCTTTCATTTCCTTGTGTCCATTCCAATTAGAAAATAAAAATAGAAAAAAAAAAGTGGTAAAAAAATAGAAAACACTGATGATGTGAGAAAACTTCCCCCTAAACACAGTCCTATTTGCTATCTAAGTGGTACATGAAAGCATAAAATAGTGGCTCCAACACATATATTGCTTTAAAATCTTTTTAAAAGTTTTTTTTTTAAATAGGTGCAGCTTTAGCATGTTCACTGTGTAGCATGAATGTGATGTGAGAGCAAAGAGATTGACACTTAGTAAATTAATTATTCAGTTTTAGGATGGAACTCTGAATTCACGAAGGGGAATCTATGATACAGTATCCATAAGAGAAAATGGAGCTCAAGGGTCTAAAGAGATCCCTTCCACTCCTTTGTTTGATATTTCTGCAAGAGAAATACATGCCTCTAAAAACATCAACCTCTGGCAAAGGATTAATTAGGTTCTGTTAAACTCGTGATGGGTTTCGAAGCACAGAAGGGAAGTCCAACAAAAATGTCTCCTCCTTTTTTGAGCCATATCATGCTCTTCCTCTTCCATGCAATGGGAAGGAGAATGGATGCTGGGGGAGTTTCAGCATCAGTCTGGATTCAGCGTTACAGAGTATTTCTGCAATTGCCTATTCATTACACCTCATTTTCTCATCCTTATGGCACAGATGATGTTGCCATTCTCAGAGCTCTTATTTGCCATGTTTATTAAGTCTTTATATAAACTGCTTGCGGCAGCACCATGTGTGGAGAAGTGTGACAACAGATACTTCAGTGCTGGGCTCCCTGGAGAGACGATGTTTTCCTTGATTCATCACAGCCACACGACTGTGCGCCAAGCAATTACACAGTCCTAGAAAGAGAGGTTTCCATGCCCTAGTAATAGTTTAAATGAGAAGACCAGGCTACAGAAGATGACAGAGACCTGAAGCACCTCACCTACAGCCTGTTGTTCAGCCTGAAGAAGAGGAGGCTCTGGGGAGACCTAATAGCAGCCTTCCAGTACCTGAAGGGGGCCTACAGGAAGGCTGGGGAGAGCCTGTTTACAAAGGCCTGCAGTGACAGGACGAGGGGAAATGGCTTTAAGCTGGAGGGGAGCAGATTTAGACTGGAGATGAGGAGAAAGTTCTTCACTGTGAGGGTGGTGGAGCACTGGAACAGGTTGCCCAGGGAGGTGGTTGAGGCCCCATCCCTGGAGATATTCAAGGTGAGGCTCGATGAGGCCCTGGGCAACCTGGTCTAGTTGGGGGTGTCCCTGCTGACTGCGGGGGGGTTGGACTAGATGACCTTTGGAGGTCCCTTCCGGCCTGGACAACTCTATGACTCTATGACTCTGCAGCTCCCACAAGTCGCTGCAACCCTGCAGGGTAAAGAAAAGTAATGCCAACCACTATGGAACAGCACAATCTGCTGTTCCCAAAAAGCCAAAAACTTCTTGGTCCCAGCCCTGAGGGGGAGGGAGGAAATGCCTTTCAGAAAGAAGACAATTATTCCCCTCTGCCCACCCCCAATTTTCCCACCAAAAATGTCAATTGATGGGAAACAGCTTTACTCTTATATATCAGATTTGGCAGAAAATCTTCCAATCTTTCTTTCATGTAACCATTACCACCTCTTTAATGGCAATATAGATTAGACTAGAAGAGTTTTAATGGAATGCAGTTTGAAGGATAACTTCTAAGCATAACACTATTTTTACCTTTTTTTTATTTAAATGTTAGATTTGCCTGCCTGAGAGCCATCCCCCAAGAAACCCACAACTCCTTAAAATGAATTTATTATTTGCCTGAACAGTCAAAAAGGTTAGACTTCATTTAAAAAAAAACAAACCAACAAACCAAAACACGAGAGAAATCAGCAGTCTTCCTTAGTTAAAGCTGATTTAACACACTGTATCTTATATACAGGAATTTTCAAATAAAACGATCACTAAAAATAATAATTATTATTATTACTCTTACACTTAAAAATCTAGACAAAATTGAAGTTACAAGTGTATGGCATTAGACACTAATAGCATAGAATTACCTTGGAATCCTTAGCATAGTAAAGGGTACGCCCTCGAAGTTTGAAATAACGCTTTTTCCACCTCTGAAAAGAACTGGTTTGCTTCAGTAGTAATCCCTCTTTTATACTTGTCTGAAAAACATTAAAATACAGAAGACAAAGTAAATACATATCTAAAAAGCTATGCATATAGATGAATGTTACACTTTTTAAAATTTATGTTACTTCTCATATAAATGTGAATTTAAATGTGTATCTATTCACACTAAATTGAGATTAATTCTCTGGACAACCAGACTTTGCGTCGCTACTTTTTAAACAATGGCAATGTTGGCAAAATGATAATTTTATATGTAAACTGAAAAGGCAGTCTAGAGGCATATAATTATTGTGAAGAACAGAAAATAATTCAATTGTCTGGATAGCTGCAAACCCACAAATATTAAAGTGAGCAACAACTGATGGTGGCACAATTCAGAAAAAAAACCAGCTAGACAAGGTCATTTCCAGTTCCAAATTTGATTATGTTGAAGAGAAAAACAATTTCCACACGGGCACCAATTCAGCGAGGTACTTCAACGTGAGTCTGATTCAAGCACATGAATTTATGCCTTTAAAATAGAGGGAATGATCCAGTATGATGCAAGTCATGCATGACTTCAAGCGCGTTGCTGAACCGAAGCCTTCAACGTGAAATCAGCTTACCATTAGGAATAATTATTCTATGGAAAGTATGAGAGCAGTAACAGCCAGGGATATTTTTATCGAAATATTTTTAGTCAAAAAACGATTCGCCGATCCAAACCTTTCCACTGCAGACTGAACCCTGCCTACATAAAGCCCTTTTTTTCAAATGAGTAAGACACAAATTAGCATATTTTCAACGTGCATGCTGCTTTCACCACCGCGTGTGGGATTCATCCAACCGATTACAGAAATTCTCCCCTTAATCAGATGAAATGACATGGCATACTAATTGCACAAGTCTCGAAATTAATTTTCTTCAGCTTTGAAGCACACATAGGGCATGAGCAAGTACATTTGGATATTATATTCTGAAATGCTTCCAGAATATTTCCAATTTGTAGTGCAATAAAGTGATGCAAATCTTATAATATGATTTCTAGACAATGTGATATAAACATCATTTAAAGTTATTCTAGAACTTTTAGAGACTTAACCAAGACCAGACCTAAAATTCATAAACATCTTCTTGTGTTATCAGCTATCAAATTCTCCTTAACTTTAATACAAGTAATAAAAAACCCCAAAAAGCAGAAATGAGATTGAAAATGAAATGAGAAACATCGCTGCTATGTATCACAGCCTTCATTTAGATACTTGTAACATCACAAACTAAGAACAGGGTCCAATGATCACAATGCAATTGAACTAATGCTCTTAAAAAAGCAACCCTCTGAGATGAAATATCGCAGCTGAAAGTTTGGATTTATCTGCCTCTACTTCGCATGCCAACAACCTGGACCAACGCATTCGGTCAGCCCTCCTGCCCTTTGCCGAGGGGTAGCAACTCCCAGTTGAAAGGGTCTGCTCACCACACACCATTTTAAGATTGCCTGCAATTATCTGACCAGGCTCTAAGATAGGCTTATATATACGATATAAATAGATTTAATCAGTTAGCGAATACAAGCACTTATTCAAAGCTGTTTGTTGTAGCCAAGCAGAACTTTTACATCACTCTCTGAGATTTTGGAAGCTCATCACACGGGTTGGGAGTAGATGACTTGTGTGTTTATCAAGGGTTAGAAGATGTAAGACCAGAGAAATTCAGTTCCAAGGAAACAGTATTTCACATACATGGCAGGCACTGACTTACTGGAAAAATTTCCAAAATGGGAGGAAATCCACATTGCCTAAAATGCACTATGTGTACTAGGAGACACAGAACATACGTTATACTGAATATTTTCAGGAATTTTTAAACATGGAACATAAATCTCCCTAAACCTTGAGCTATTACTCACTAAAGAATTCATTAACTCTTCCATGTAATTTTTGTGACTATATAAGCCATTTCCCCCTATTTCTACTTACACCTTAAAAAGACCAGTATCCCTAAATCAAACACCTTCAAAATTAAACCTATTTTGCCAATCAGCTATTTAACATTAACTCCCTAAAGTTGGCAGTAAATAATCATGCAGGCTCTAGAGAATGTATTTTTTGTATCAAAATGTTAAAAAAATACTGAACTGGTAAATATTTATCCAAGAAATGTAAGCACTCCATAGAACCATAGAACGGTTTGAGTTGGAAGGGACCTTAAAGATCATCGAATTCCAACCCGCCTGCCGTGGGCAGGGACACCTCCCACTGGACCAGGTTGCTCAAATGAAGCATACACCTGAAGTTTACATTTTAACACCAACAGATGTACTGGGCTGAGGTTTGAGCATCTTAAATAGAAAACTCCATGGCTGCAGGCATGAAAATTGAGCATAAAGTGTTGGCCCAATATCCTTAATTAACTTCGTATAGTCTTTAAAATGTGCAAAAAACTTCTAGCTGCCAACTGAGTCATTAGGTAATCTGCTAATAATGCTTTCCTGGATCTACACACAAGTCACAGCACTTGCAGTAATTTGAGATCAGAAGGGACCTCTCAGGTTGTTGAATTTAGGTCCGTATTGTTGCCTACAACCAGGTCATGTAAAGTTTTTTCAAAAGCAATGATCAGGCTATAGCTACACCTTAAGAAAGAGATCGGTACCTTTTCCTCTCCCAACGGCAATTAAGACAGTGCTCCAAGATCTCGCTGTTCTGCGAAACCTTCTTCTAATTTATCTCAGCTGGACATTAAATCTGAAGCGTAAGCAATAATCACTGCCAGTTACATTAACTACTTTCCTACTGTAATTTAGGAGAAACAAGAAATGCACATCCCACAATCCCACGCTACTTCTTACATTTACAGAATCACCTCTCATCTGCTTGCCAAAACCTCTGACTTTCCCATACAGTATCTTGTATCATCTAGTAATACAACATCCCTCCAGGAGTATTGGACTATAATTGGCATGGAATGGAACAGATCAGAACCAAACCAAACCACTATTATAGAATCACTAACAATCTTAACTGCTTTAGCCATTAACGACTAGGAAAATGATTCACAATATCACAATCACAACATCACAGTCCTCCACAGTGGTATATTTTCCTGAAGAGATCTAATTATAAAAATCACAGCCACATTTCATAAAATTAAAAGGGTATACATATGTGTTCAACTATCTAAGAATGTTGAACGCAACTCTTACATTGCCGTAATTTAAATTACAAAAATAAATGGAATTTGTGGGTATTATGATCACTAAAAAATAAGACACATCTTCTTTTAGATCAGGAAATATTTAAATACTCAGCATTCAACACCCAAAAATTCAAAACTAATAGTTTTAATTTCAAAGACAACAAACCACACTGCCTTACTTCTAATTCACCATTTGTAAAGTCCCACATTTGCAGAAAAGTCTATTATATTTTTTTTTTGGCTTCTGCTGCTGCTAGAAAGACCCACAGAAAGGAGAAAATATCCTGAATTTAGAAAAGAAAACAGTAAACTGACTATGGATGCATTACTGGCAACTGAAAACTAAGACATTGAATGATTAAAGATAAAACTCTCCCCCCTACTCCTTTTCAGCTATATAAGTGGATGTGTGTCTGGAGAGTGAAGAAAAGAACATCAGGAAATTTCTGAAAGCGAGGAGAATGAAAATGAGAACAGGAAAGGCCATAAAACAGGGCAGGTCGAATGTAAGCAGGAAATTAAGAAGGTGAAGGAGAATTTTAAGATCATGTTGCAACAGATGCTCATGCTGAGACCAAAAGGTTCCTTAAATACTTTGAAAGATGAAAGATAGCTAGGGGGTTGGCAGGATCATTTTTCAACAGTGGTATGAAAAGAGTACTCGCGGATGAGAAGATCAAAGCAAAGAACTGCTCATCAGATTCTTGGCATCTGTCTTCACCAATGAAGATGATGGGCCAGTATCTCCCACAACATGTTCTTTGTAACATTAGAACAGCTACATCAACACGAAGCTCAGATACAGGAAGTACTAGACCAGGCAAATCACCAAGTCATGTGGACCACATGGCATCGACCTGAGAGCCTTGAAGGTCTTGAAAGGACCACTGATACTAACTTCCAATCCTGGTGAGACAGCAGTGTCCATACAAAAGAATAATATTGCTGAGCCCATACACATATGATGGGAAAAAGTCAACACAGCTTTTGTAATGGAAAAGACTGCCTTGCTACCTGCGGGGAGTTCAGAGAGGTGGAGAGGAAAGCACGTGGATAAATGAAGATCCAGGGGACTCGGAGTTTCAGAAAGCCTTCCCACAAAAGGCCATTGGAGAAATTAAGTTAGAATTACATTGGGAAAAGGGGGTTTCTGTGGACTGAAGTTGGCTTGGGGGATAGGAAGCACAAGTAGGGTTTAACAGTCACTCTCTCTCTGGATTACCTGGGAATCAGGTTCATTCAAATTCAGTGACCCAAAGAAGGATCAGACAATGAAATCTTCAGATTTACAGAAGATATGAAGCTCTTTTGAGTAGTCAAATTCAATGCTAGTGGTGAGGAACTCAAAGGATGTTATAAAACTGAGCAAAAGGGCAAAGAGGCAGAAGACAAGCTTCAGCCCAAATCAATGCAAAATGCTCTACTTTGGGAAAAAAAAAATCTAAACCTCACTAACATTCTCATGTCAACTTTGAGTGGAGAAGAGATCTCAGAGTCATAGTTCGCAGCCCTCTGTGCTCAACTGCAGCCAGAAAAGCCAAAAAGCTTTGGCTGTCACCAAGAAAAGTAACAAAACCAAGACAAAAGATATCATTTTGCTGCTATATAAAACATTGGTATACAGGCAGTTCTGCTCTCTCCAACTCAAGAAACAGGGTTAAGAGAAGGTACAGAGAAGAGCAACTCAAATGATTCAGAGGATGGAGCAGTTGCCTTACAAAGAGAGACTACAAAAGCTGGAACTCTTCATTTTAAAGAGCAGAAGACCGAGGGGGTAATACGATCAAAATTTATAAAAGCATTAAGGCAGAGTATGGTGAAAGAAGAACCATTGCTCACCAAATCCCACAATATT